ACTTAAGTACAGTATTTGAGTAAATTTACATTATTTCCATTACTGCTTTGTTATTAAAAATTTGGATTATATTCCTGATGTTCTTGCTGCAGCCAGAGTAAATGATGTGAAAGATGTCCCATTTTACTTTGCATAAACCTAGAAATATTCAAGTGACCCATCAGCTAATAATTTTCAACACATATTTTTGTGCCACATTTGCCGACACAAAATTCATAATGTCTTTGTATGTATTGTAATTCATCCAAATTTATTATACTTTCCTTTTTTTGTTTCACGTTGAACCGACAAACCAGGGGTGACGTCAGATTACGACATCACGCAGAGGTCGCTGGATGCACGCTCCAGAAAACGAGGCACGTTTGTTTCGGTTTGTTTTCATGGTGGACGTTGAATGACAGAGCGACACAGAAGTTGCTGAAAGTGAAGCGATTTAGTGTAGAAACAAGTTTGCACCGTGAACAGACGAAGCCACGGGGTAAGGACCTTTTATTTCACACAGACGCCGAAAAAGAGTGTTCATTGTTATTAAGAGCTAACGGTAGCTGTGTAGCTAACGTTAGCCTCCGCATCTCAGTACTCTCTCACAGCCGTGCATGACTTCTGCGGAGCTTCTCTTTTACTAGCCCGATGGAAAGACAGAAATAATCAAACTTAAAATCCCTCTGTAGGTGGTGGGTTGTATATTTTAGTGAGGACACAATTATCACATAGTTCTGCCGTTAGCAATCTTTACTTAGCCGCTAACTATGTGCTGTAACAGAGACTGGAAGTGACAGTGTAACTTGTATAAATCGTGTGTCGTTTTTGTAAGCATACTTTGCAGGTGACTGATATTATAATATCCAAATTCATGCCTCACTTACAGTGTTTCGTTTTTGCCAGTTGTCCAACCCTTATGCATAGCTATTCAGATTTAAACAATGGTAATGTCAGACATACAAAAGCAGCAAAATTTCACATTTGAAATTTTTTTTTTGCCTTTTAATCTTCTTTCGATCGACCAATCAGTTAATCAACATATTGAGCTTTATTTTAACATGTAAGATTTATGAAAAATTAATCTAAATCACAAGAACGCAACACAACAAAGTTAGCTGACTGGAGAGTTTTTCATTTGCATTAATGTAATATTTGTATTGTGTAATGGTGTCTTGGTGATTATAACCACCACCAAATAAATGAGTCTGTTAACAAGAAACAAGAAATTAATATGCAACTATTTGGATACAGGTTTAATATTAAAGTCATTTTTCATGAAAGAAAAAGCCAAATGTTATCTAATTCCATCCTTGTGATTGTGAGATTTTGCACTTTTTCTTTGTCTTATCTAATGATAAATGTCATATCTTCAGGTTTTGTGCCATTGGTTTTACAGAACAAGTAATCTAATGAAGTCACACAGGAGTTTAGAAAATCTTGATTGGTATTAAATAAATGTAATACCTTTTTTGTAGTGGCATAATTTCAACATTCTGAAACAGCCAATATGTCTGTGTGGTATCTTTTGAATGATTAATTAATATTCATGTGCCATTTCCTGTTTTGTTTTTTTGTCTTTTTCTCAAGGATTATCAAAATGTCTTCTCCTGAGCCCATCATCAGGTCGAAACAGACAGAGAAAGATGTCAATGGAGTATCAACACAGGTCGTCTGTACAGAGTTCACCAATTACATATTCGTAGTTCTCACTCAGTACGGCAAAATTGGGACATTGATATCTGTCACACCTGACTCCAGATCTAATGATATCAGCACCCCAACGTTCTCCACCAAAGTGCTGCTGGGCAAAGACGAGGTACGCTGGACGAAATTGTTGCGATAAATATTGTATCAGTGTGATACAGACTTGTTCACAGGATATCAGTCAGACTTGGTGCAACATAGGGTAACTCATTTCATGCTGTGAAAGGGCAGATGAGATTGGTTCTGACCTGCTCTGGTAGGTTGGGAGAAATTAGACGTCTGCAGGCCTTTAACAATTTACACAAGGAAACCAATTTAATCTCTGCATGAGCATTTCATTTTCAAACAGCCATAGAGTGCTGGTAAGGATCATTAATAGAGAAATTGATTAAAACAGTGTGCATGTGCAGTTGACAAAACATAGTCTTTTTGGGGGTTTTTTTCACTCAGTTGATTTAAAAAAATGTAATAAGGCAATACTTACACTGCCTTGTTAAGTATGTGACCATGATTGAATAGTGTTATGTAATGTAATTTGTAAATTGTCAACAGCCGGGTCTTCATCTGTAGTTTCCTGGATTACACAAAAGCCAGATAACCTGCCACAACCACATCATTGGTTTCATTAAATTAGAAAGGCATATTGTAAGATGTGCAGATGTTGTCGTTTTTGGGAGAACTTCGCAAAAATGTATCACATTTCTTTTGATGTGCATGGAATACAACCCAATCAATAATGCTCTATGGCAGCAAAGGCAAGTTATAACTATTTACCACACATGCAGTGGCAGCAGTCTTTTTTTCTGGAGATGATACATGTAAAAACCTGTGGTGTCAGAACATATGGAAAAATGATTTGCTATGCACTTTAACTCACTTGTACATGATATCAAATAAAGAATAAAGCAATCAGGGTGTATGTGAGAAAAGTGCTGCAGGGGTTTTTTTCATTTCATCTGTGAGGTTTCACAGTCCAGCCTTTGCACATTTTCAAAGCGCTGTAGAAGTCATTTTCAGTTTTCTTCTGATGAAAACATGTTACATAGCAGCATTTTTGTATGTAATAATCTAACGCCTGCTTTGTGTTTCTATTTTCAGCCACTGACACATGTCTGTGCCAAAAACCTGGCGACATTTGTGTCGCAAGAAGCTGGCAACAGGCCTGTGTTGCTGGGACTGGCGCTAAAGGATTCTTCCATAGATTCAGTAAAACAAATGAAAGAGATCATCAAAAGCTGTAAAGTCTGGTAGGAAGTCAACAAAATGGACACAAAGCCTTCTGGATTCCCCCAATTTCACTTCTTTTTCTTGCGTCTTTCTAAACTTAAAGGATTTTTCTCTTTCCTAAATAACAGTCTGGTTTTAAGCGTGAGTTTTCTGCACACCACTGTGCTCTCACAAACTGATGATTGTGCAAAGATTAAGTTATGGTTTGCAAAATGATGGCCAATAGTTCAATTTTCATCACTGTATGAAATATATATCAACCTTACAGTTTTGGTTTCTTTATACTGTTATTATTTTTGTACTTTAGAATGCAAATATTCTTAATTGTGTCATGAGGCGGATTTAGAAATAAAACAGGTCACTTCTTAAAGTATTCCATTTTCTGTCTTTGAAACAAATGCAGCGCAATCATCTCCACCCTGGTGAAGGATAGTTTGGGCGTAGCACTGGATAAACATTTTAAGTATCACAAATATCCCCATCAAACCGGAAAATTGGGCCAGGCCTTTTCTAATCACGCTGAGGTCTTTGCTTCATTTATCAATTATAGCTCTATTACACCGGCTACAATGCAGTTAAGCAGCCCTTTAGACTCCCTCAGCACATTTCAAAGCAGTACATCCTGTGTTAGCAGTGTTATACTGCAGATCATGAGGTCAACAGTAGTCTACATATCCACATTATAAGACTTGGACTATTTGTGTGGAATATTGATCTATATGTTATCATCCTCTGAACTTTGTAATTTTATAAGATGTAATCAATAAAATGTGTAATATGTATGACTCATTTGAAGTATTTGTTTTCTAACTGAATTTAAAGATGTAGAGTTTGTGTCTCACTTATTCATTTAGCTACTGAAGCTTTGACATCAGGGCTGCAACAAACATTTCTTTACATTATCAGTCTGATTGTTTTTTTGATGTTAAAGTGTTTGGTCTATAAAATGTCAGAAAATAGTGATAAATGTTTATATCCTTATCAAATGTATTGTTTTGGACCAATAGTCCAAACCCCCAAAATAACCAACAAAGATCCTCATTTTGTTGGAAACACTGGATGTTTCGAGGTTTTTGCTTAAAAATAAATACTTAAAATATTAGTCAAAATTGTAGCTGATTATTTCCTGTCAATTGATTCAGCTCAAATATATACAGTATAATGTGCACACATATCCCCGTTTTCTTTGTAAAGCTTATGTCTAATTTGTGACTGTTGTAAAACATGATTTGTTTGTAGGCTGGATTACCAATTGGGCAAAGCAGGCAACTATCGGACTACCAAACTCACTATATATCATTTAGGTCTACATAAATTGATCAATTTGTTACAAAGTCAGCTCTGATGGGTCCCCCGTCCTCCATCTTGTGAGGGACCCTGTGTGAAATTGTAGTCATAAGACCTTATTTGTTGTAATATACATTGTTTATTATGTATTTAGTTTCATTTCTCATTTGTTGTTGAGTCATGTTTTATTAAATGACTTTAATTAACAGAAAACCTTGGGCAAGGTTGTATTGTTTCATCATTTAAGTACTGTAAGGTTACATCCAACAATTATATATCATTACTACATCTGATAATTATATTGTTTGATGATCAGTTGAGTGTATCAAATGCCAGAAACTGTTGATATATATTTAATTTTTTGTTTTTTCCAAGAAGCAAACGTGTTGAGTTAACTCACAGAAAACTGAGAGACTAGTTAATTGCAGCTTGAACAAGTGATTTTTTTTCTTTACCATTTTATTTGTAAAAAAGACTTCAATTACTAATCACTCATGAAATTGCTGCCAATGAATTTTTGTCTACTGTCTAATCAATTAATTAACCATCATTTCAACTCTAAAGTTCTGGTTGGTTTCTGGATGCCCAAGGAAAGAATGTAACTGCCATATATAGGGGGGTCAACAGGGGCCCAAACAACAAATACTTGCCCCAGGGCCCCTCAAGATTTTAGTCCGACCATGACGATATAGGACTCCTTTAGTCGATAAGTCTAAATAAAAATCTAAATTACTGTCAAGTAGGCAACGTAATGACGACATACGTCGAGCTGTGGTCACGTGGTCCTTTCACCTGTTCCTAACCTGTTTATCCAGCTCCTCTGACTCACTGCGCAAGGTTAGAAACAAATCTCCGTCGTTTACACTGAAAGTTGATGACTTGTTGACTTTTTCTGGTTCCGCAGAGTAAACGCCACAGATTACTGCAGTATTTCTCTCTCTGAGTATTTTTTGTTAGTGGTTTTGTGCAAGTTTTAACTCGCCGACTGTGTGGACTTCGACCTCGGTGAGGTACTTGTCTTAAACAAGGAAGTATAGTCTACTGAATCCGTCGTTGATGAAGTCGACGGGCCGTGAGTAAATGGCAGCAAATGTCCACGGTTAACTATTCTGAAAGGAGATTTTCCTCTCGATGTTTATCTTGTAACGTTGGCTTGTGACTATCCTGGGCTGTTTGTGTACGGTGCCATCTGTACGGGATAAAGCAGCTTCCACCCTCCCCGGGACAAGGTGAGCCGTTTGTTGTCGGTAAAGAATGCGCATATCAAGGCTAAGGTCATTTGAACGCCACTTGTAGTGAAGTCTGCCACATAGTGTTGTCTTTTTTAATTGAATATTTCTAAATATAACATTAAAATTTAGGTTTTGCTTTGGCTCAGTAGGCAGCCTGAAATCACTGGGGAGCATTCAGTTAAACTCACAGGGGAGGTGTCCTTACATTTCACCTGTGAGCCCTACACTCACTTTTTGTATTTTCTTTCTGTTTCAGATGAACATTTCTTTGGAAGACATGGATCCATCAGGTGAAAATAATTCTATTGTCCACCTGCCTGCGCCACTTCTCCCAGAGACGTCACACATCTCCAATATGACCATTATTCGAACCGGCAATGGCTCAATCATAGAGAACCAGATGTTTTTAAACACACTGGCTGCACAGGCCCTTTCAGGGATATTCGTCTGGTCCGCCTTGCTCATAACGTGCCACCAGGTGAGTTTGCCATTTCACAGAAGTCTTATTTTTAAAAATGTCATGCCTGAAGAAACCAAAATCACTGCATCTCATAGCACCAGTGAGCAATACAGCCACAAAGTGTTTCGCACATTGTGATGTAAATGTGTAATCAGAGACTGCTGCGGACTGACAGATAGCACCTCCCTTGCTAGAGGACAGAAACAAATTCTTCTATCCATATTACCTTACAGCACAGTGCAGTTAGTTCAGTGTCTCGGCTCAGATATTTCCATACTCACTCCTCCACTTTGTCTTATCTAGTCATAAAGTATTTCTTTCTTTGCCGGCAGGTATTATTTTTTCTGCTTTGTACTTGCACTGCCCTAATGCATTATGGGAATGTTTTGCTTCCTTAATCGTTGACGGAGGCTATCAGATTAAAATGGATGAAAAGCCTTTAGCTGATTAAAGGACAATAGACAGCGAGCGCTCTTTGTGTGGAAAGGGAAAAAGGATGGTTAAGAAGAATAAATGGCTCAACACAGGCCACCTTTACCCAGAATCCATTTCATCGCTGTTGTAAATGAGCGTTCCCTCATGTGTGGGTGAGTAACCCACTGTGCGCAGATGATAGCTTATCATTATGGTTTTATCATTTGCAGAGAATGCAGTAGGGTGCAGTGTATTATCAGCAGGGAAATCAATTGATATTGAGATAACATTTTACAGCATTATAAAGGATGAGGGTGTTATTTTCCTGTTTGCTGTGGTTTTAATGTTCTGCAGCTGTAATGGCTCCCAGTTTTAGTCGATGATTTTATAACCTTTGTACTGAACATGCATCTATCCCAACATCCTCAGGCTGGCAGCCATATGCCTGTATCCTGTTTATGTTAACACACATATGCTCATAGCTGTATCTGCTATGTGGTGTAATTAGTTAGGGTCGTTGTTATTTGGATAGCTTTGTAACCTCCTCACAAAGCGTCAACATGTTGCATCCTGTGATCCAAAAAACAATCCTTGTTTAGGGATTTGTGACTCAACATCCAGCAAATTGGTTTCTATCTTTTTAATATATTACGTGTTTGGCCAAACACTTGGCAGCAAGACATTTTAATTGAACAAATAAACATCAAGTGTACCACAGGGAGAAAGGAGCAGGTTTGCAACAGGCGTCCTTTTCTGTCACACAGAATGAAATGGTCTGCAGGGCTATTGTTGCGATGCTGGTGGTGTTTCATCTGACTTGGTTCCAGAGGATTGCTATAGACTCTGAAACTCACATTCTGAATACTAAACACAGATAGACAATGACCTTAGATCCTCTTTGCTTTAAAGTCGCCACTGCTTTGCGGACTGGAGGCTCATTTTTCTCAGAGGGCTTATTGGTCCCTTTGCAACTTGAAGCATTTGGGATTAGGAGGAGCAGACTGGACTTATCTCCTACAGTATGGCTGTGTCATGTTTTGCACATGCCACTCTCATTTAGTGCAATCACTTATGTTTTAGGTTTTTTTATGTTCTCAAAAGTGGGATTCCTCTGCCTCTAACTCTACTGTTATGTAGTAATAGGCAGAGGCAGAAATAGCAGCAGCTAACCCTAACCCAGAAATGTACTTGAAGCCATTATTACCTCCACCAGGGAGGTTACGTCTTCACTCGTGTCTGTTTAGTGGTTTGTTTGGTTTGTTTGTCATCAGGATTATGCAAAAAGTACTGAAATTATTTGCATCAAAGTTGCTTGAGGGATGGGGCACAGGCCAGGGAAGAACTTATTACATTTTTATCACTTTCCTTAACATTACGAGATTTCTCAGGAAGTAATGTATGCATCGTGAAGTTGAAAAGTCAGACATATTAATGATGTTGAGATCTTTGACTTTGCACAGTTTGGATATGTGTAGGATTGCTTGTTTGGCCTTGGCGGAAGTATGAGCTCTACTGACTGCCATTCTAATTCAGCATGCAACTGTCAGGCCAGAGTTATGGATTCAGGAAGGACAAAGTTTTTTCAGGCAAATGAAGGACATCAGTCTACAGCCTGCTTCACTTCACATGTAGAGATGGCCATATACATCATTCCCCCATCCGCACAGTAATCATGCTTTAATGTGCAGCCTCTAATGGGCATTTAATCAAGCTGCATGTGTTGATTAGAGTCAGACTCTGGATGTTGAGTAGCGCTAACATTTAGCTTGCTCCGCCAAATGGATGTTTTTAAAATCTTTGTCACAAACACAAGTGTAGTCCATAGAGTAGCCATCTTTAGTTTGAATAAATTTGTGATTAAAAGAAAAATTAGGATCTGCCTTTATTATTCCTTGCTCTTCTTTGCAAGACCTTGGCTAATTGTATGTAGAGCAAGTGCTCAGGATTCGCTAGCTAAGTATTTGTCCCAGGTAAAGTTGACATCAAGGCTGCAACTAATGAATATTTTCATTATCAATGTATCTGAAGACTATTATTTAGTCTATAAAATGTCAGAAAATAGTGGAAAATTCCCATCACAGTTTCCTAAAGCCCAAGGTGATGACTTCATATTTCTTGTTTTACCCAGCCAGTAGTCTAAAATATACAATTCACGATCACATGAGACCAAGAAAAGCAGCAAATCCTCACATTTTAGAAATTGGAATCAGAATCATGTTTACCATTTCTGCTTTAAAAACCTCTTGTTGATCAATTAGTAAATAAAGTATTTCCTGATTAATTTTCTGTCAGTATACTAATCAATTAATTGACCAATCATTTCAGCTCTAGTAATCAGGTGGCTTTTTATATTGTATGAATAGTAATTCTAATTGTTTTTGTTTCCTTGTCTCTTTAGAGAGTTCTAGTTATTAGTCAAAACTGGCTTGAGCTTGGTGTGATTACTTGGATTGCCCCCTCATCCACAATTAGTTGCCTAATGGGTAATAAGCATTTTGAACAACTGAGAAACTTAGTTGATTAGTCATTTTTTTAAAGGTCTTTTTTATGAAGAATGAGTCATCGGTCTTTCTAAGTGCCACACGAAGGCAACTGGACTTGCTTGGGGTTCTTGAAGACGTTTTGCGATGAGAAGAGAGGTGCAGCGTCTTCAGGAACCTCAAGCAGGTCTAGTTGCCTTCATATAGCACTTACAAATACCATGACCTGGATAACTGAGAATCTTCACAGACATACGAGCTATCCGTCATTACTTGAAAACTTCCTCATCTCTGGCATCGCAATAATGTTCCCCAGTATGCTTTGGTCTTTAATGAGCACTTCATTTTCAGAGCTCGTTCTGCACAACTGCACTCATCTGCAGAGGGACAGTAATACTGGAGAAACGGTTCAACTGATTTTTCAATTAAATCCGCCAATTATTTAGTTGAAGAGATCCTTCGAGTATCAGATAAGAATTTATTTATTTGTTGACAGATTAAATTGGCAGTAATGTTTGTTAATGTTAAGCGGTATTGATATATTTCCATCCCACACTGTTGGATCAGACATGTTGCTAAGTTGTGGCAGCTTCATGTTGCAATAGCTTTTTTTGTATTACCTGAGAGCACCAAGGGAGACAACTGTACTTTACTCACTCAGCTGAAAACATATTTGCTTGAGATCAGTATGGATAAGCCAGTCCTTGCGTCAGTGGCAAATCATACATTGCAGTAGGGATTTCAAAACATTAATTCATCATCAAGATGTGGCCCCTGGGTGTAAAAACTTTTATATCGGTCTAAAAACTAAAGGTCAAGGAAATGAATGATAATCAGATTTTTGCCGTATGCTGTGTGTACTCCCCTAAATGTTGTTAGCTGCACCACATTATCTTTATGGAGGCCACATGGGGGCATGTCGTTTCTGTGTGTGTGTTTAAAAACTAAAGGCTGAGACCTTTAATTAGCTCGCTGAAAATAAAGTTTATTTACTGATCTTATTGCCTGCATCTGTATGTGAAGTTAGAGCTGTACAATATGGCTGGTCACTGGTTTAAGCAGGAATGTTCTGGGAGGTCATTAAAATGGGCGATGGGTGTTCTCTTTACTTTAGATGGCCCCGCTGTCGCTGCCGCATTTCATAGTGACAGATCTTTACACAGGCAGAGCAGTCAGTGCAAGGTTAGACTGTAGCCATAAATAATACCATCCAGATAAAAACATACTTGATTGTTTGTTGTCAGCCCTCAGGAGGCTGACATTCCACATTGATCACACCCTTTAAGTTTGTATCGCTTCAGTGTCAGTGCTATACAGCTAACTTATTACTGATATTTTTCCTTCTTTTACAAAGGATGCTTAATGGACTGTAATCACTACTGTTGAATCTCAAAGTTTAATAATTAGCGTAATAATACACACCTTTTTTTAGAAATACCCAAAAATACAGACTATCAAGTGTTTAGCTGAAAGGATTAGGTGATAGGTAGAACATTATTTGACTAATTTAATAGTCATTTGTTGTAGTTGTTATTTTTTAAAAGGAAAAACGAGGCACATTCTCTGGTTACAGCTTCTCAAAATTGAGTATTTGCTGCCTTTCTTTGTTTTATATCAGTGTAAATTAAATGTCTTTGGGTTTGGAACTGCTGAATATAGTAAAAAGTCAAATTCCATATTGATTTGCAGATGAATCGATAATGTAAATAGTCATTTAGTTGTAGCATGAGTCAGGTTATCTTACTTATGAAAACTATGGTTTTGTGAGCTATTTTAAAGAAAAAACGGCCTGTTTTCCATGGCAATGCCTATAGAAAGTACACGTGAATGGATTTTCACATGCAGGTAACAGCATATCATGTTTTATTTTGATCTCATACATCATCAGCAGAAATGTGTTTAATTCACAACCTTGCTCCATGAATCTGTAAAAATACCCATCAGGATGCTCTCTTGTTTGCCAATGTTTTTTTCATATGTGTTTTTTTTTTCATTGTAGATCTACACACACCTTCGATCCTACTCTGTCCCCAATGAGCAGCGCTACATCATCCGCATCCTGTTTATCGTGCCAGTCTATGCCTTTGACTCTTGGCTCAGCCTGCTCTTCATCAGCAACGACCAGTACTATGTGTACTTTGACTCCGTTCGAGACTGTTATGAAGGTAAATGTCACAAGCTCACTCCGTTTAAATTCTCTTCCTGATGACTTCCTCCCTGGCCAGCCGTAGTGTTTCTGCTGCCCTCTTATTTTAGACAACTGCCAGGAAAGAGAATAAGAGGAACTTACCAAACTCGTTTTTCACACCAGTCACCTCATTGTTTGAGGTGTTGCATTTCTAGGTGGTGTAATTGTAGGAGCATCACTTTTTTACGCCTTGACTCATAATGTTTGCTAATTAGGGGGAAAAAAACCTAGAGTGTGCTTTTTAGGTAGGATAATTTATTATGAACATTTTTTTTTATCATTTGGTCTCAGTAATTCTACAGTGATTTACTATATTCAGATATTATGATGGTGGTTTAATTTTCCTTTATACAGTGTAACCAAATTATGTATCGAAGTTTTAAGACTACAGCACTTCACCAGTGGCAAAGGTGAATCATATGCAAAATGGATTACAAGTAATTTGGGAAAGGGAAAAAGTAGGAAATACATTATTCAGGAGATTAGTTTCCAGTTTGCAAGCCAATTTTGTGGGTGATTGATAGTGAAGCGCATCAGGAAGCAGTGAGACTGGAACACCACCAGCGGCAACGGCTAAAACATAATGAACCTTCTCTTGACTGGACACCATCTGCATTAGCTTCACTTAATCCCTCCTTAAATAGCAACAAAGGATTAGGAAGGGATTTCCAAGACACAGAACCCTTGGAAGCTTCTTATTGTAAGGACCGAAACATTTATTGTTCCAAAATGTAGGACTAATTATTTTTTATCATGTGGGCGTGTTCTCCCCTGAAATGATTTGACCTTTCAAATGAAGTTATACTTGAAGGTGATGAGGAATTATTCCGCAGTTAAAATCATGCCAATTAACGTGTTTGATACTGGGTGAAAAAAGAAGTAACTCTTTTCTTTGTGTTACAGCGTTTGTCATTTACAATTTCCTGAGCTTGTCCTTTGAGTATCTGGGAGGAGAGAGTGCAATCATGTCCGAGATTCGAGGGAAGCCCATACAGTGAGTGTTCTTATTACGTTCTGCGTGCAGGCTCCGGCATACACAAGAATTTTAAACTTGTAATTCTGCTTGACACAGAAGTAATGGAGCCAACCTTGGTATGGTTCAGGCTTCATATATACAAAACACAAAAAGGTGCAAGGTGCATCTTGCTGACCTTGAATTAGCATTTACTTTGAACACCACAATGAAAGTGCTGGCAATAAACAACTGCAGTATTAATCCATGACAGTTATCCTTTATCTCAGAGCTTTTGACCAACCTCGATAGGCTGTGTTTTATGGCTGACGCAGCCACAGGGCAGCAGCTCTTTGCCAGCTTCTTAAGACAGTGGAGACACTAATGTTGAGTCCTGATAAACGATGGCATTGCTTAACACCAGCCGGGGGAGACGAGGTATAAATCCTACATCTTGTTTTTAGAGTAGTTCACTGCAGTGCGTAGCTCTTACACGTCCTTTAGGATTTCCAGACAATGAATGTTTTCTTTCTTAAATCAGTGAGAGCTATGAATAATTTTAAAGTCTACAACCTCCAGAAAGCATCTCACATAAGACCTAGTCTTGACTGAAATAAGGATGCACTTCATACTTGTCAATGTTCAAGTTGAGTATGTTTTAATTAGCAACATGTGCGATGAGTTATATCACATACTTAATGTACACCATTACCATGCTCACAGTCTGCCTTCTATCATGTTAGCAACATCAGCACAACATTTTAATTAATAATGTGCCTATATACTAGATTGAATTTAATTTCAGGTTCCCATAGATAAAGTAGATCAAGTTTGTTCTGTAGGAATCAAAGCAGAGAACAATGAAGATTTAGACTAGATTCATTCTGTAGGCAAATCTCAATTTGTTTCTCAAATTTATTTTGACTAGAAGTCCATGCTCTCATTTTTCAATCTTGTCTTGGTTGCGTTTGATGTTGACCTATCAGTATTGGGTAAAAAGATGAAAAAAACACAATTAGAGATGTATACATTTGGATAGTAGTGAAATTGTTCAGAAAAACTGGAGTAGCACCTCAGGGTGATTAGGCTGAAGGTACTGTGTAGCAGCATCAGACTGATTGGAAGTTGTTATTTAGGCTGAGTGTAGTCCTAATCACCCTCTCTGCTGCTGCCTCCAGGTTCACTCCTACAGCAGAGCGAAGCCTTTCACACCAGCTAATTTATTTCATCCCCTAAACTGCCTTTTAAACACATCACTGCTGACTTGGAGTAATAGCACTAAGGAAGAGCTGTGACATATTGTAAATGTGTCCACTTTGTTGTGATGCTGTTGTTTTAGCCCCAGGCCGTTTCCTCTTCCAGAAAGCCTTTAAATCCACTGTCTCACATGACACCTTGACCTACTCTACGTACACTGTTCGACATGTTACATAACGGCAACATTTATGTTTTGCATTAATGCTTCAAATATCGGCATTCCCAGTTACAAATGAATGAAAATGAAGTTTATTGTATGTACATCAGGAATTTTCAGTAACTGTTCACAGTATGGTGTAAGCAGCTTATCTCTCACTGTACATGATTGGGATATGATTTAATCTGCCGATTGTTTTCTTGATCAATCGATTAGTTGTTTTGTCCAACCAACAGTCCAAAACCTGTTATTATGAAAATAGTTGCCATTTAATTTTCTGTCCATTTACAATTAATCAACTAATCGCATCAACTCTAATGTCAACAAAAACTGAATATTTTAAGCAAGCATGTTTTTTATTGCATGGCGGCAGTTGTATATATGTTTCTGTTTAACGGTTTCTGTTCTCTGATGCTTAACATCTGCTGTGTCAGTGTTGACATGATAAACACTTTGTTTTTTGTGGACTCCGCAGGTCAAGTTGTCTTTATGGCACCTGCTGCCTCGTCGGTATGAGCTACTCCATCGGCTTTTTAAGATTCTGCAAACAGGTGAGCTTCAATCATCCCCTTATCTGTGCTCTGGAGATGCTCTTTTCGACCACTAAAATAAATTTACACACATTGAAAACAAGAATACATCAAACAAACAAACAAAAAAAAAAACAACTCTCTCAACACAGCTGTAAATTACCATTCTGTCCAGATCTCCAGGCTGCTTAAAAATGACAGCTGTAACAATTGGCTGTGTGCTTTTCAGAGGATAACATCCACTGGTTAAAAAAAGGAAAACAAAAGCAATTGAGGCCAGGTGAAAGCAGCTTGATAATATACACAGAGAGATGATATGAGCTGTCAGTGCTGAGCTCTCTTCCAGTGTCTTGGGATGCTGCATGAGCTCCCAGTCTAACGCTGATGAAAATTGGAACTGAGAGTTATGTCTTCAAAACAAAATAAATGGTGAAATGAACTTTTTTTTTTTATTTTATAAGTGGCAAGTGATAAACACTCAGTATGCCTTGACAAGAACCCTACGTGAAATGTTTTAAAAGGAAAACCTTGCAAGTTTTCTCTGATGTTGTTTCTGGAAGACTGAGTTAAAGAATAATTCTCCATGAGAGGTCAACTGAAGATCAGCACAGCAGATTTTCAGAGGAGCATTGCTCTAAAACTCCCATCAGTTTCTTTGTAGTTTGTTGGGTTGAGGCCTAGAGCTACAGCTTAGAATTAAAATCTCGTCCTCATTGTCATTCATGGAACAAAGTTTCAGAAATCAATACATCGAACGCTTCAGAAGTTATTAACTGCTGTTTTGCAGGTCAACTCCCACGAAGCGAGGGACTAACTGGATTTGGAATAATGATTAACTGCTGTTGTACATATTAATTCATTCTAACTTGATTACTGAAGCTCTCCATGATATCGATCACGTGGCCATGTGGCTTGTAGTTAAAAAAACAACAGTGTGCTCTCGATGATAGCCGACTTCAGATGAGGAAAAGTCTCATCCTGGACTGAGGTGAAAATATACAAGATCTGAAAGGCCTTGATCCATTTTTTTTTTTTTTTTTTGCAGGGTAAAAGACATTAAAATTCTTCGTACATTTTGGGGAAGTTTTAGTGTGTGATTAGAAGAGGGGTTAACAAATGAATCACTGATATGGAAAAGCAGCTTAGAGTTATGGTGGTCCTCTGAGATAAGGTTAGAGGATGAGCTCTTGCATCCTAAACTGTTTTTTGACATTTCAGTTTTAAGTCATCATCATATTGTAGGTCACATTATTGCCTTATTTTCCTGAAACTGCACACAAGTTGAGACTATATCATTGGTATACATACATTTTTGTCATATGCCGTACATACATTATATTATTATTCTCAGTAGGAGGAGTACAGAATCAGCAGGTGAAGTTGAATGGCCAATCACTTGAGCTCCTCCCATTTAAAAGTGCACCTCTGTGAATCACCATAACCCCATAAATGTTGTCAACATCCATTATGCAACAATAGTCTTACCTGTGACTACAATGAGGTAAAACCTATAGCAGTTGATGTAAAACATACTGTTATTGTTGGGTAAAGTTTTTATCAAAAGGGCCTCTGACAGTTTTCTTGCAGATATTAAAGATGCAAAAGTGGACAGCAGCACAGATGCTGGGAGAGGAATTTGTGGCAACAGGACAATAAAAACATTGGCTTTGTGGTCCGATACGTAGATTCATTGTTAAAATGTATAATCAATTTGGATAGATCAGCTTTGGAGCTCTGTTTTTTGTAATACACAAAGCTGAGGGGTGTTGCTGTTAATTGGGACTCAGGAGAAATTTAAAAATCAGTCCTGTCGATTATGGCCACCAGTGAAGTATTGCAGTGAACTCTGAAGTGGTAAAAATGAAAATAGAAAGAAAATGCTTCAGGTCATTTCGATCTCTGAATTCTCAATGAAACATTATAATGAAAAACGTTGTCAAACTGCTAATAAATAGAAAAGAAATAAAGTTCAGTGTCATGAATCTAGATAACCCTTTGATGCACCAGTTTGTAATATCTCAATAATATAGAACTAACATATCCTCTTATCTTATCTTACACTCGTGTCATGCAGTGTACACCGACACTCCCATCTAGCTTAGTATTAAAGTTCATTTCTCTCTGCAGTTACCGACTGTGAATTAATTTCAGGCAGAAAACCACAGTTAACTTTTAATCCACCGGCATTCTGAACGTGCATTGTGTTTTGAATATCAAGCGTGTCAGGAAGTATCATGCTAAATTATTTGCTTTGAGGATATTCACAGTGACAAGCTGGCACTAGAACAGGCATAGAGTAACCAAAGACTGTCAGGACTAAAAGCTTCAAAGTAAATCAGTTAAATAAATGATTATTGATGTCATTCTGCAAAGCCCACATCGGGCTCCGGCCATTCTACAAAAGCCTCCCTCTGGCTCATCAAGTCAGACATTCCCATCACTGCTGCAGCTTCCTCTGTTGTCCCAGCCAGTCCCCATCCACATCAGCATTAAGACATCAGTATGAGATGAGTTATTTCTCAGTATTTGGACAGAACAGATGGCTTTAGCAAAGAATGCACTCTTTTTTTTGTTTGATGACCTTTTTTAAGTTCTGTATTTTAAGTCATTAAACGGTAGAAAATACGACCATTTGCTTTTCTTTTTTTTTTTTTTTTTTTTTTTTTTAACCAATACTTAGCATAAAGACGGGAAATAGGGAAACCGCTACCCTTTAGCACCTCCAAAGCTCACTAATTAACAACTACATCTCATTTGTTTAATTTGCACAAACAACGAAGTTTCAAATCAACAAGTTGCTGTTTTATGAGGGATTATTGGCAGGACTATCTGTTGGCTCTGAGCAGTTGCCAAGTAACCGTGGAGACTCCAGGAAGTAACTGCCAATGTAAGAGGCAGCACATAGCTGCCTGTAAAACAGTGAATTGTCATTTATACAAATACGTTTTGTAACATGTTAATGAGTGAGCTCCGGAGCTGCTGACAGGTGAATTTTGTTACCTTCGGTATCTTTGTGCTAACCTAAGCTAACCAGCTGCTGGCTATAGCCATATTTTACTAACAGATGTGAGAGTTGTTTGATATAATTCACTGCCAGGAAGCGAATTAGCATATTTCCCAAAATGTCAAACTATTCCTTTTAATTGCAGCTGTTGAGCTAAAACAGAAATGACGAAACATTGTTGTAGGTCCCGAAGTTAATGGAAGTTCTGAAGTGAGATGAGTGGCCACTGGTTAGGTTTAAGGGACTGGGAGACTGCTTGTTGCCAATGAGTAGTTGCAGATCTTTTCCATCCAATTAGATGTACAAAGAGATTCTGACACCCCTCTTCATCCTTCATTCTCCTCCTCCTCCTCCATGTTGTCCTTGCTTGTTCGGGTTTCTCATCCTGAATTGTAATGTGTTCTCCAGGCGACGCTCCAGTTCTGCGTTGTCAAACCCATCATGGCAGTCATCACCATCATCCTGCAGGCCTTTGGCAAATATCATGATGGAGATTTTAAGTGAGCAGCATCTCTCTTTGCATTTCATTCTTCATGTATCTTGTGCATCCATGCTATTGCCAGCAGGCTCATTTGCTGTTTACGTGCATAAGGAAACAATTTGCAAATGGAGATAATTATATCACCTCCTCACAGCAGGCACGATGAAAATGTTTGGAATTAAAGGGGTTTTATTTCAAGCTGAAAGTTCTGGGTTCAAACTTTGTATTTACTCTGCTGCATGTTGACCCAGGTGTATCACTGTCCTCGCCATAATTACAGCCTCTTGGGCATTGTTGGTATTGAAAATATTAATTCAGGAGATTTTTGCAATATGAACTAAAGGAATTATATTTCAAGTTTTCTCCAAAATGTAGATATTGTTCTGAAAAGAAGCCCTTTAATTCTTATTTTATGTTACACTAGGTGAAGCACAGCATTACAAAGCAAGATGTATTGTTTCATTTAATTCTTTTATTTTGGATGTCAAGTGATACAAAGGCTGGGGATAAGTTTCAGACTGACAAATTTAATTTTAGTGTATTTCAGTGCTTCAGATGATCCACTAAGGGTCTCAATAGAATATGGAGAGGGTAATATGTTCAATAAAATTGTCTTTAGTGTGTAATCGAAAGCCATAAAACCTGCAGTCTGTAAACTCCGTCTGACTTCTTTTCAGGTGCTCTTCTGCCTCTCAGTTCAGTATCTCTTACTAAAGGTTCAGCTGTGACAACACTTGTTTCTGAACTACTCAGGAAAAGCACAGAGTTCAACGAGGGCTTGAGACAGAAGTTTCAAATCAGCTTCATATCGTCACCCTCTTACCGCCGCACCAACAGATAGACACGGTTACATTCTTCCTGCTCATTTCTCCATATACTTCAACAGCAAAATTAGCAGGCAGAAATAACTGTCTTTTTCATGTCTTTCTTAAAGCTCTGTAGCAAGACTGTGGTGATTCACAGATTGTTTACTTATATGCTTTTATCCAACCGTGCACTCTATACTGCATGGGAGTAATTAGTGTAGTCACAGATGAATCCTCAGAGAGGCTCTCCAGAATGCAAAGCGGGCAGAAAGGCAGGCTTGACAATAAGATATAGACAAATCTGCCTTTTTATCAGATGCATCCAGAAATAGAAAGGACATGCACAAACAGTCTTTATTAATTGCTTGTTTATGAAGAGGACAAAAAGGCTGGATTTCCAGGTGTCCATGCAATATGGCTAAGAATATCATCAGATATAAGCTGGCAATCTTCTTCATTCAGCCCAACGTAATAAATGGAGTCAAAACATGAATGGATTTCCACAGTTAAAAAAGTTTTGCCATATGATCACAGGTGGAAAAAATCTCATATGGTTGTAACTTTACCACATATATCTGTTTCTGTGCAGCGTGAATGGAGGATACCTGTATATCACAATCATCTACAACTTCTCAGTCAGCCTGGCCCTCTACGCTCTCTTCCTCTTCTTCTTCGCAACAAGTGACCTGCTCAGGCCGTACGAACCGGTGCTCAAATTCCTAACTATTAAATCTGTCATCTTCTTATCCTTCTGGCAAGGTAAGTCCGACCCTCTACTTTTTTTTATATCGGTGCTGCCAAGACACAAAAGTATAAATTGATGACGAAAATGTTGCTGCTTTGCAGGAATGGTCCTCGCCATCCTGGAACGCTGCGGGGTCATCCCCAACGCGCTCTTCATCGACGGACAAGAGGTCGGTGCTGGCACTGTGGCAGCGGGCTGGCAGAACTTTATCATCTGCATCGAAATGTTCTTCGCTGCCATCGCCCTCCGATATGCTTTCACCTGCACCGTCTACCAGGAGAAAAAAAATGAAGTGCCAGGTGAGCGCTGTAGAAAAGCTTGAACTGCTCATTACCTGTTGCCCTCGCCTTGAAAATATGTTGACATCTTCAGAGGCTAATTGTCCCTCTCCAGCCACACAATAAGGACTGACACAGGCTTGAAAGTGTTTGCAGTAACAGTAATTGTATCGCTCTTTCGCAGCATTTGCAGCCATTTAGACAGAGCCGGTTAATTTTTAAAGTTAGATTACACATTAAATCCCTCCATTTTAACTTATACCCAAGCTAAATATTTGCAATTTTGTACTTAAATGTGGTGCTGTCATGAGCTGTGTGTAAATCAGTTTGGAAGTCGGCAGGGGGGGGTGCAGCCATCAGCCATCAGCCTGAGGGCATGCATTGTTACATATGGCTCAGAGGACAGTTGCCATTAAAGCAAAGCAGAGGAAGATGAAGAGGAATTGTGACACCCCTTTGACGACGGGAAAAGCCCTCCACAGTGACATCAATCATTCTGCCATCTTTTTTTTTTCCTGCTATAGGAAACCCTCTGTCCCCTTGAGCTGCTTAATATGCAGAAGTCATGGAAGTGATGATGAAAACTCAAGCATTTCTATATCAGCTTGATATGGGCATTTTTTTTTTTTTAAATCAAGATAAAAATCAGTGAAAGTAATGACACGAAATTAATGGTTTTCACCATCAGTCATTCCTCCTGAAAGAAGTCTATTGCATCTTGCTGTCCAGTTAAAGTATAATAATAATGTTGCTCCACAGTGTTGGGCAGCTGAATATTACATTCCTTTTTTCCTTTTTTTTTTTTTTTTTTGGTGATTGAACTTAACATTCTAGCACTGCTGCTGCACGCCCACCCTCGGGTGCAGATGTGTGTGATTGCAGAGGATGCAACCATTCCTCTGCTTCAGCCCTGTGGACCAGGCTGTAAGGAGAAACTCAGCAGACCGTGCCTAACTGCCTTGTACCCCCACCCCATCTTGCCCTTCTCTTTGCCACTTCCAGTCCAGTCCAGACAGCACTGCCAGAGACTCTATAACAAAAGGCTGTGGATGTCTGCTGGCTCTTTTGTTTTTTTTTGTTTTTTGGCCTTGGACACCATTTCAGTTCTGGAAATCATTCAACCTGGCTCACAGCTGGGTGCTGAGGGACCATCAATGGAGACAGTGGCTGTGACTGAATTCTGTTCAGTCCATTTCTAAACTGCAGCCTGTGAAAAGGTCACGATGAAAGAAAGAAATCATGCCTATTTAGTGATTTTTACTTATTTTTTATTTTTTTGATATTGCTGCTACAATGCCTCGCTTTGGATAGCTTACAGAACAGAAGCACTTAGTAATTAAGTAGCTGCTCAAAAGAAATAATTTTCTGTAATAGATTAATTTTTTAATGGCTCTGGAAACCTTTTACTCACAATCAGCTTCTTATTCTAAGCAATGGGGTCATACATGCACACAAACTTTTTTTGCCAGTTTTGTTTTTTTCTGATTTTCTTTTTTGTTTGAATTTGACTTCTTTCACTAGTTTGAAGTGGGCAGGATGTGCACCAATCAGGATTTGGCAACATTTGAATCAAGTGTGACTCAAGTGTGTGTTAAACACCAAATTAATAATGCCTACAAATGTTTCTCTTTCCCAAACTCCAAATATTGTAATAAATATTTCATATTATAGAGAAATGCTTAAATTTCGTCTCTAGACATGTTTTAAACTGTATAAAAATACTCTACTATTAACATTTATTAACGTGGTTTTCTCACATAAAAAAAAAGGGAAAACTCTACGATTACTTCCTCATTGAGAAATACTGGATCAGGCCTCGTGCCCCGCCCACCACCACGCATTTTATTGATTTAACACAGAATTGACACTGGAACAATAATCACTAGTATTTTATCCACTATATACCTCAATCCAAATAGTGAAACCAGTATGCTGCCAGGACATGATACAGGCAGTTTCCATGACATCCACTCCCTCTTATTTGTATTGAGATGTGGATTTTTTGGGTATTTAAAGCCGCATCATCACCTTCGCAGTCACATGTATTATTGTGTGACCCATTAACTCCCTCTGTCCCTGCTCCTGTGTTGTTTTCTGCAGAGAACCTCCCCCCAATGCAGAGCATCTCCAGCGGTCTGAAGGAGACCATAAACCCTGGAGACATGGTGCAGGATGCCATCCACAACTTCTCCCCAGCCTACCAGCAGTACACCCAGCAGTCCACACAGGAGGTGGTCCAGCCCAGCACCAATGGAAAAGTGGCCACAGGCAACAAGAGCTCCCGCAAGTCTGACAAAATCATGCTGATTACCTCTGATGATGAATTCTAGGCATTTTTCCAGCAAGATCCAGGTGTTTGTGTCCTTGCCACCCCTATCTCTCACCCCCTGGGGAAACAGCTGTATTGCATTTCGCACAGAGCTGGATTGAATCCAGGTGTTTAATTTTCATTATCCCAGTATTTAAAATGGACTGCTTACTTCTGTCCTATTTGAATGAGTAATTTAAGCAGGAAGAGGAGGATGATATTAGTAATAGTTTTAAAATTGATGACTCAGTGAACAGAGAGCCGATATGCCAACATCTTAGCAGTAATAATCACAGGAAAATGACATGTGTCACCCTCGCTGTGTCAGAAGTCTGGAGCTATGCGTTTCCTTTAAGTGAAACTGCTGGATGTTCAGCAGTGTCCCTGATCCCGACTCTGTTTCTGTCATCATGTCAATGCTCACTCTCTGGCCGTCTGAGGCGTGTTCCTCTGATTCATGTCAGTTTCAAAGGGGAGATGATTAATATGTGACTCCAGGTGGGATGCAGTGAAGCCAACAACGGCTGGGAGTGACACTTCATGGACTTGTCTCGCATCTGCTTGTTTGAAGTATTTGCTGAGCATCCCTCTGCATGGTTTCCTGACAAATGGAAGGATCCGTTCAAAGACACATTAGTTTTGGAGCAGGCACTTCAAACTGCAGACTATAGCACTTCGCAATCCTTTGTATCTACCGTAGCATGGACAAATTGGATAAACCTGTCCCCAATAAAAGTGGGAGTTGTATTATTCTCATTAATTTTCCCAGCATGCTAAGGAGTGTAATTCAATGCAACTAGACAGCTGTGAGCAGACATTCACAATTAGTCTTTTTGCAGCCTCTACACTATTACAAATGCTTTTGGCAGAGCCTTTTTGTGTTTGATGTGGTCACACCACTCTTCATATTATAATTCCCTCTTCCAGGGATTATGAAATGAAACATGTACAGAATCTGATTGTTGTAAATTGTGGTGTTTTAATATGTTTTATTTGTGTAAAAAGAAATTGTTGTTTGAATTATGGATTGGGAAGATTAATGTATTTAATGTGTACAGTACCAGAGAGGAGAGGAGAAACACAAAAACAAAACTGTAAAAAAAAAAAAAAAACTGACTTTTTTCATTCAGAAATGTTATCTGTGTTTGTCACATGGGAGACATATAGCTTTCTTAGCACATTAATTATTGTGTAACAAGTCATAGTTTGTTGAACTTTGATACCCTCTTGTGCCAATGATAGCTGTCTTTCTGGGAAAGCAGAAATTAATTTACAGTTTGGTACAAAATAGTTGTGACAAATGTTAGTCCTGTTTTGGCGCTGAAAATAAATTTTTTTTTTTTTTGCTCCTCTAACTCACGTATATTTAATTGAGTAATTGTGCAGTTGTAGATGGGGGAGGAAGCTTTATTTGAAAGTACAAAAACAGACACAGCAGACCTATTTAAAGGAATAATTTACCATACTTTAAATCAGAGCAGAAACAAATACAGATTTTATTTGTACATGAGGGTAGTTCATTGAGAAAACATGTAAATAAATGAATGAAAAATAAAAATAATTTAGGTGTTTTTTTTAATAAAATTACACAAATCAATGAAATAAATACAAAATATATATGAGCAGAATAATGACAAGCTGTGAAGGGTACATACTCAGTTTATGCTGCCTTATTACTGTCCTTGTTTACAGTCACTCGTCATGAGACTCGAACAAAGAAATCAATTTATCTCTAATGTACAAACTTGACACAGAAACTGCTGCTGTTGAACTAACATTCAATGTGTTTTATCAATTTTTTACCCACAACCATGTCATCCATACACATGCTCCATTCCCACTGTCATGGAGCTTTTTCTGAGTTTATAGGGACAAACAATCTCTTCAATCAACAATTCTAAAACTGACTTTCTACACAGCTAAAGTTAAATACTGTAGCTTGTAGGGCTGGCGAAGCTTGTGTGTGTGTGTGTGTGTGTGTGTGTGTGAAAGCTTATTTACTCAGACATTTTTTTTTTTTTCAGGAAGGAATTTAAAACTCATAACCTTGAATACCGAGTCAAGATATGCGAGCAACATGATTTCTGTACATACTAGGTTCATATAAAAATGTAAAATAACCACTGATATCTTAAACAGTTCCATTATAGCTCCTGGGTATAACAAGCTTCACTCACATCAGCTGTGGGGAGGAAAGAAGGCTGTTCAGACCGGTTTGAGTAAACATTCATGGTAGGTAATGTTTATGCCTCTTTTCACCCATAAACTATTCATTTTCTGCATAATACTTTTTTGCAGGTCTGCTTTTATTGTTGTGAAAAAAAGTGCCTTGTAGAAAATGTGTGTTGTTATTGACTTGTGGTAAGATAACCTCAGGGAAACATGTGTTTGAGAGCATGAACGGACCTCTGCTGGGTCACACTGGATGTATGTTTAACAACAGAGTACTTAATTCACCTGCGGGGAGGTTTGTCTTCTATTCTGGCACAGTACAGAAATATACACTTTCAGAGTTATTTTTAAGGTGTGTTAACCTCAGATCCAAATACAGTAATAAGTGCTGAAATGAAAACAATAGCCTCATTTGGGTAAAACAGCATTAGGTTCTGAAACTTTCCCACAAGGAGGTCATTGTAATGTTCTCAGAAAATGCTTTGAGCAGTATTGTCTTGTCTGAGAATTGACTAATGTAAACATGTACTGTGTTTTTCTATAAATTCCTCTGACTCTGTGACCTTAGACTTAACAGGTCTGGGTGGACAGTCTGTAGCAGCTTTGGACTTACTTTCAGGTAAGGTTTCTTAGCGGTTTCAAAAGCATTACCATCATCATCATCATCATCATCATTTGAAACTGTCAACTAAATCAGTTGTCATCTTTAGAAAACTTTACCAAGTCTACCTTAGAGTCAGTAATGACTAACTAGGTTTACATGCAGGTTAACTCTCTATTTTAAGAGAAAATTGTCTCTTTTATTAAATGAAATATTCTAATTAATTCAATTAAAGTCCAAAATGAGAGCTGAACATTTGGTTTATATGAGGCTAATCTGATCACATCAGACCAATTGGTGGTAAAGTAGATGTTTGGTATAACTTTCCATCTAAATGATCCCGAAATTATTTAAAGTATGTGAATTCCTTTGCATAGATAGATTGACTTGCTTCAATACATTTTAATTGTCTGTTTTTTCGCTCCAATATTCCAAAAGTTATGATGTAAAATATGACAGATGCACATGCGCTCTTTACTAACAGTGTGAACTAGCGGTCAGAATGTAATTCCCCTGTTTTTTTAAACAGTTCATTCTTGACCGTTCAGAGATAACTAACTGCAGCCTATATGTAACCCTAGTCACTGTCTGTCCAATTCGTGGATTAGACAAATAGTAAATGTGCTGAGAAGAACTATTCACGGGGTATAAATACTCACAAAGAAGACTTAAGTTATGAGAATAGTTTTCTCATTGTAAATGTGAATACAACTTATTCGGGTAAAAGGGTCAGCATCAACATAATTAGACTTCAAAGAATGATTACATAATCACACCACTCCCAGGATAGTAAAAGACATAAATATAGAAAAATATGTAATATATATATTTTATATACTGTATATGCATATAAAACTAAGTATCAGAAAGAGAACATAGGTTGTATCAACATAGAAACCAAGTGAAAATACAAAATGAGAGTAAGAACACAGCAATGCCCCTGCTTAAAAATCACAGCAGGTTGTACAGCAGCAAAGTTCCCCATACTGTTCTTTGCAGCTATGGAACAGGGGAAGAACAGTCATGTCCTCTTAGCCAAGAGAAAATCCTGACATGAACAATCTCTATTGACTTCACTCCGAATTAGGAATGGATCCTCGGTAAGAACGGCTTTTTATTTCAAGTGACTTTCATATTTAAATATCTCAAAACGTACAACAGGAGAAAGGTGTTTACTGCATTTAACTGTCGTGACACCACTATTTCTAGAGATGGGCGTCAGGAGTTCTCTTGCAGAAGAGTGTGTCAAAAGCAAAGTAAATAGCTACTGTTTCAGAGTTACCAACACCGGCAGCAGCACTTCTCGTGACCCAGCAGTAGGAATGATTTCTATTTGGACGGATTTCTCAATGTGAAGTAACAACGTTGGCAGTGGGAGCTTTATTGTTTCGGTAATCTGTAATATACAGGAAGTAAGTTGAATTGCATTTCACTTTTAAGGACCGCTCTCATTACACTATATCCAATATGGATTACCTACCTAAGAGTGGCATGTAAAGGAAAGAGGCAAAACATCACCCAGTAAGTGCTGTGGCATACTTATCAGAGAGTATACCATCCTAAGGCTAAGTGTGGTCACACCACATTTAATCATCATGCACTTGAGCCCCAGTAACTTTAGAAATGCAAGAGTAGTTTCTATCTGTCATCATCTCCAATTCTAGGACTCAATTTACCTATGAATTGTTTTCTTTTATACTGTAGCTTAACAGTTTCTTTTAAGTGCTTTATAATGAGACACTGGGCAACGTCAGATCTGCTCAATCCAAACAAATCTGGCCCAAAATTATCCTTAATCATTTTTCAGGTTTTACATTTTAGTCCTCCCAAGTCTCCCTTCTGTTGAAATCAAGTATAATTCAACTCTCATGCATTTCAAAATAATATAAGCAGAAACTGTGAATCATTTCTCTGTTCAACAGGGCTACAGAGACACCAACAGGATCACATGTAGCACCTTCCCAACAGCTTCCAATGTCTTCAACAAACATTGAAGACAAACAAACACTGACAAATTCCACAATTTCTTAACCAAGATACAAAGCACAAGTCAGCACATGGATGAGCCATTATGACAGCAAATTTAAGATGCATCAGATGTGCTCCACCCTGCAGGTGTCTGCAAGTAGGTTGACAAAAATGCACAAAAGAACCTCTTCAATATATTCTAGCAAAGATTTAAATACAACTTCTGACCTAATGGTGGAGTTTTAAAGTTCTCAAACTAGTGAAAAATGTAACTGAAAAATGTATTTTTCCTGGAGAGAACTGACTATTTTCTAAAACTAAATACTAAACTATTTGGCATGACTGAAGACTGTGCAAAACTTTGCATAATCAGGACAGAAATATAAACAATCCTGTATCACTACTAGAGCCCTTGGTCATAATGCTGCATAATGCAGAGCTCCATACGGACCATGAGGGGTCATGTAGAGGATTTCACTTCAACAGGTGATTTTTTTTTTTTTTACTGCTTTACACCTTCTGAAAGAGAAGAGGAACATCAGTGCTGTGATTGGCTGGCTCTTAAAGGCATGTGGTTGCAGACCACTGGTAACTGTGGTTATGAAGAGGTGTCCACCTGACCTCACAACAAATCTTCTGTGTGTTAAACTACATGTGAGATAATAATTTATACAGATCAATCATAGATCCTTTTCAAGGCAACAGCTTCAAATGCTCAATTTGGCAAAGGCTTTGTAAATAGCTTGACTGTCACATATACATTACTTAAATCTCTCAGGTTTTATGCTTAATAGCAATAAGTATCAAAGCTGTCTTAGGCCACTGCTGCCACATTAAGGCATATCAAGCACTTCTTCACACTGGAGTAAAAGCAAATCTCTGCTATCAGTCAGGGAGGTAGGGTCACAGAGGCCCATTACCCTGCCGGTGCTGGGGGTCTGAGAGGGGGGGGGGGTTGCACAGTGCACAGACAATGTAGATTGTGTAAGAGAGACAGAAGGAAGGAGACAGAGTTGTGAATTCAGCATAACATCACATAGAGCTTGCCACCCCATTCCATCCTTCAGTCTTAACTACTGAGCGTCCTCTCAGCACAGGATGAGTGGGTTCAGGCGGGGTCAGAACCGGGAAGGACCAGGCAGGAGAAAGAGAGCCCAGTCCTGTCGACACTAGGAGGGAGCTGAGAACGGGGTCGGGCTGGAGTTGTTGTGGTTGGCGGACTTGACGATGGTGATGACGCTGGTGGTGGCCACCTTGCCCGGCGAGAGGGGCCCGCGCGTCACAGTCCGGGCAAAACACTGCAGGGCCTCATACTTGGCTCGCAGGGCATCCAGCTCCAGCCTCATGCTGGCGTTCTCGCGGGCCAGCTTGTCCACCTCTAGCTGCAGCTCTGTCTTTTGTCTCTCCAGCTCCTCCTTCTGGGTGACGCGTTTGATGCGGCAGCTGGCGGCGTAGCCCCGGTTTTTCAGGGTCCGTCGCCGCTGCTTCAACCGCACGACGTCCTCCTTGGTCAGCCCACGCAGATGCTGGTTGAGCTCCCGCACGGACATGGCCACCAACTCATCGTCGCTGAGTGCGGGGGCATTCTCGCCTACCTCCTTCTTGACCTGCAGGACATGAGCAGAGGGTGAGGAACAAGAGCATGACTATGTCCAATGAAACACTCCTCAGACTTCGCACACTTACCTTTAAAGCTTTACTCGTCTTAAAATGAGTCGTCATTCCCTGCATGCAGACAACTGGCCAGAATCTCACAGAAGACACACTGAGAAGTAAAGAGAAGAAGAAACTAAGTGACTACATCACTTCAATCAAGTGAAACAGTGTATTGCCATATTATTTGCTCAAGCTCTGTACTCTCATACAATTTAGAGAAATATATATTTAATTTGAATATTTCAATTTGTACTCCACTACATTTAAGAGGGAAATATTGGACCTTTCAAACTAAAAAAAACATCACTGTCACTTAAATATCATGTAATGTTACAGATGTAACTACCTGAAGTTTATAGTTGAAATTGGCTCCCTTTTGACCATCTACAACATTAAAATGCTGCTTACATATTAATGCATCAGTAATAATAAAACAACATGTAATAATATATCCCTCCCTGGTGATATATGCTGCATTATGAGTTCTCTTACTCTTGACACTTCAAGTACATTTTGTCTAAGCAAGACTCTGAATACAGGACGTTTGTTTGTAATTGAGTACATTTCAATTACTCTATTGATACTTTTACATCAGTAACAGATCTGAACACATCTTCCCCCTGTGCGTATTATTGCACGTTGCAGCTACTGAGCACGGCATTGGAGAGAAACTGGCTCTGACTCCAGTCCCTCCTCCCCTGTAACTTCACTTTGAAGACATCACAACAACATTCCAGGGTTATGTCATGTGTCAATATTTGTGTCTGTGTGGTGGTAGTGCCACACACACCAGTAGAGGGCAGCATGATACCGTTAAAACACCAGCACTGGAGCGCGCCTTTATTTACTTGTAAGAGGAGGAGAGCCTTGACAATGTAGTTCACTAGACCAAGCGAGATTAGAAACAGGCAACCTCTCTCTCTCTCTCTGTCTCTCTCTGTCTCTCTCTGTCTCTCTCTGTCTCTCTCTGTCTCTCTCTCTCTCTCTCTCTCTGCCTCTCCTTCTCCATAGGACTTTGCATGTAAGCTCTCTGCCTATGTGATTTTTGCTGGGGCAGTTTTTAGAAGAGCTTCTCTGTACTCATTACAGTGAGGCACATGCTTTCCAGACTGCCGCCACGGCCAAAAAAAGCGAGAGCGCTGAGCTGTGATCCTGTGAGAGGCACACATCCCCCCAAGGCTCCATTTCAGGACCTGCAGACCAGCCTGACTACGAGTGCACTGTTCCATGCTCGACTGCTGCCATGGAAACACCCTGCGAATGGGCGTGGGAGTGTGAGTCACATGGTCACCAAAAGGATAAACAAGTCTCATTCATAACCGCAAACACAACCTATACATAGGACGAATAAGAGGCACTAACTTGTCCTGATAACTTAAAGGTACCCTGCACAGGGGGAAAAAAAAAAAAGATCCATCAGTTTGTCTGTGATCTTTCTCTTTATCCTGTTACTTCCTTTGATTTATGTGAATGTCTCTGGGTCTGCAGGGACACAGCCAGTCCACACCACTCTGCCTCCTCATCACAGACATTAAAACAGATCATCACATCAGCATAACATTTACAGTTATGCTGAACTTTACACGGCCGTAGATATGCATGTGGAAAATTCCTGGAGATAGAGTGTCACAGAGAAATAGTTTCCTTTATAGTCACTGATGTATTTTTGCTGTGAGACAATGTAGTCTATCGATTCAGGGCTGGTTGGATCCTCTTACACTGGGCTTTCCTGAGCTGCTCTATGCCCTTATTTAACTCTGGTGGATATATTTAGCCCACAGTGCTGACACAAATTTCTGCCAACTAAACAATTTAAGTGAGCATGCGATAAGCGATACCTCGGTAAGAGGGCAAATATTCTCTGCAGTCCAGTTAGCAGCAGCTTTCATGGAAGAAAAATACTCTGGGTGTGGCTTGTTCCTTTTGGGATATTTATCACGTTTCTACATCATATGGCTACAGATAGTGCTAATGCAGGACTCTGCAGATGCTGACTGAAAGCAATTGTGTAGTGAAGATAAAAAATAAAAAAAACAGCTAAACCTCCAGCCACATAAACTCCTGTTAAGAGAATTAGAGAACATCTGTTGCTGTCTCCGATGTCCTTGATTCATTTTGCAAAACATGCAGCAAAGAATTGCATAATTAAAATTTCAGCAGATCGACTCAAATAAAACATTCCTCGACAGCAAGTTGGCCTAAATAGCCTAATTTAAGTGGTATTGCGTCAGAGGGGGTCCCTGGGTATATTCCTTGCGAAAACCATGGAAAAGTGGTGTGGGGCCTCCCTCCCTTCATACAACAGGCCTCCAGCTTGAACCAGGAGGTCAGGTTGTTTCTCTGAAATTCTTTAGGCATGTGCTTATGTTTTTGCAACTAACACAGAGCCAAGGTTTTCCTGATCAAAATGCCAACGTTTCCTCAGAGGAAAAACAGCAATTGTATTACCCAGCCAAATCAACTCTTTATGATTTTGCCCCACAGACGATAAATCACGTCTTCCCATTCTAGCACAAAAAAGAAACTACTCGTAGTTGTTCCATAACAGTAAGAGAAGGAGCTGGCGAAAAACACCTCCAAAGAGAGGCCGCAGATGGCGGGTAAAGAACAAAAAAAACTACATTCCTGAGTGAACACACATGTGCAAACCCTCACATGCACAGAGGCAATTCTTCGGCAGAGAAGGAACATGCAGTCTGAATATGTCCTGCGATGCACTCAGCTATGGGGGTGGAGTTCAGACAATCCCACTTGTAAAACAACGGCTGCAAAATTCACAAAATGTCTGGAATTCAGAGGAGTCGCACGTCTTTCGCTTGCCCAAACAAATCAAAGGCAGCCTGTGTGCACATGTGTGCAACTCAGGAGTCCACCACCCCTCTTTGATGAAGGAACTGTAAACAAAATGGTCTATTTATCACTTTACTTTTCTACTTCTCTCAAACAGCAGACTATAATGTTTCAGTCGTAAAAGATGCTCCTTTGAGGAGTAATGCACCATTGACAGACCATTACAACAATGCAGATTTTAGCCAAGGAGTAACATGAGAGTTATTTCTCAACTAACTGTCTATTACAAACCATGTACACACATTTCATGGTTACGCTCGATTGTTAAGCCAGTGTTCCATTTGATGTGGAGAGCCGCTACTTTTTTTTTTTTGAAGATGAACTGACCCTTTTCAAGACCGTCATACCAGCAAACAGGAAAACAAGAAAAGGCTGGATTCTACATCTGCACAAAGCAACATGAAACTGAGCGGCTGTTAAAGAACAAATTCATGAAATCCTGTATATACTAACTCCATATGAACCTATGTACCTTTTTGTTCGCTGATTGCAAATGTTTATATTTTTAAAGTCAGGCATCTGGCCAAGTTCAAGGCTGCACTTCAGTTACAGCAGGTAACCGTGGGGCCCTGCCTTCTCCTAAAATAAACAGCATATCAAAGACTTGTGCGCTCATGCTCGAGTGATAAATGCAGAGTTGGCTTGTCTGGGCTCTTTGTTTTTCTACACAGTTTGGTAGTAGGAGAGCAGAACGTTGTCATGTTGCTGCCCTCGACAGTCTGATACATTCCTCTCACAAAACTCTTGCTTTTCTTGCATTTTTTTTTTTTTTTTTTTTGCAGAGGTTTCTCCACAGACCGGGGCGCGCATTCGCTCTGCTCTTTCTCCAGCGCAGCACATTTGGTGGGATATTATGTGAAGGAAATGGAGAGCATAGCTGAGCAGTGAGTCATGCTGTTTACTGGTAAAAGCGACGACCAGCGGCAGGGAATCACACCCTCCCGATCTGACGTTTCCTGGAAAATCCCGTTGTTTCATGGGGAGGAAGGAAAAGTACAGAGAACCTTGGAAATGGTTGGCATGAGCACCGGAACGTTTGTGCGGAAAGGGAGGAGAACTCTGCGAATATCTGAGCAAAGATATTCTCCCAAACAGGGACACTGGGACACTAGAAATGTCAAGAATGCAAAAAAAAAAAAAGACATACCTACCCAAGTTTTTACAACCTGGGAACCAATAATATGGGAAGCATTAGGGAAAATATTAATATTCTGTTCCCCAAAAGCTTACATTACATCACATTTCCTCACTTTCCAGCCTGACATACCAAAACAAACCAAAGATCTTTAGTTGAAAACACTGCTAATAATAATCCAGTACTATCCAGATTTCAGTGCTTCTCCTTCAAAACAGCTGGCTCGGCAGTGGCACAAACAGGAAGCGACAGCAAAACCATACATTTTGAGTGTTGTGGAGCTGTAAAGTGTGTGTTTGTGTTGGTGTGGATGTGCAGTTTATTGAGTCACGGTGGAATCAGGAAATTACAAAGGAAAACAATTGAATCAGCAAGTCTGCCTTATTGAAGGAATTCCCAATAACATGATCTCACAAAATAAATAGATGAGTGAGCTCGACACTTGCCACACCTCTGACCACGGTGAGGTGAAATCAGCGGGTCGAGATCTAGTCATTCTGACAGAAGAAGCAGGAAAAGACAGGATGCAAATCACTGTGGGTGGCAGACTGAGCAGTCTCAGACACAATAAAACTGTTATAGCCTGTATACACTCTGCTCGGCATGTTCGCCTGTGTATAAAATCGCCAGCTTCCAGATTCAATAATCAAAACTTTACACTTTTTTTTTATTATTCCAGTAAGAGGAGCAAAATACACCATAGTGAACGTGTCCCCTCTGAGTCATCGCATCACGAACCACAGCTATTTCACTTTCACAATACTCCACCACAACGTTTTTGCATTCTGTGTCGCTTTGATTAATCACCACAGAGCAGTAAAATGAGAAAGGGCATACAAACTAAACTAGATCCTGTGTCTTCATGGGAATTTCTCCCGATGTGCCTTGTCACTGTCACACACTACTGTGGTGGCAAAATGAGTCAGCCACTGTAACTTCTCTATCCAGAGAAGACATCATCAGTTTGGAGATTTAACCACATGTTAACCTCATGACAGAGGAGTGCATCCGCTCCCACCGCCCCTGAGAGCAGCCGACACTGTGCACCAACCAGAGACAACAGTGAATCAGAAAAGCCCCCTTTGGCAAAAAACTGTGGCCATCGAAGTGGAACAAGTTACTCAAAGACAAATATTTTCCATTTATTAATCACAATCGTTTTTAAAGGTCAAAAGTCCAAGTTATTTAGTCAAGGGCACATGACAAACAAACAAGGTAGCCCAGCAGTGATATTTCTGATGTAAAATTGCGTTATTGTTATTAGGTAATTATCAAAAAATAATTGTACTCTCATGACACAGTTTCTTATCTTTACTCAAGTCATAAAGATTTATATCAACCCAGAAATGATAGCTAAACAGAAAGATAAGATGAAGGCTTTTCTGTCTCCAGAGTGATTTACTGTTTGTGGAAATATGCACTCCTCCTGCTGTTCCGTGACTGCTTTTTTCTCCTGTGTAGGCCATTCAGCCCTGGTGGTCTAACTTCTCATCGTGCCCTTTGTCCCACATGTCTAAAATGCAGACCACGTGTTGTTTCCAATGTCAAAAGAAGGCTGGTATTTTGCATTAGCTATAGCAGCCTGTAATAAATCCCGCCTTGAAATATATTGCAGTGCAAGAAAATAAAGGAGGATGTGAAAATGATTTATAAGAATTTGTTTCAACAGAGCAGCCACTTAAGTTTATTTCACTTCCATTTTCCCCCAAAAGCTCAGAAGTAGGCTATAAATAAACCCCAACAAACAAAACAGACTATTTATATCTTATTATAACTCAGTAGTAGTCGCCTGTGCTATTATTACGTTTTGTAACAATAAACTTAAAGACATTAAGTTAAAGATATAACATTATATTCGTCCCAGTGACGTCGGTTTTAATCTAGTTAGGCAAAATAGTGTGAGATTTGAATACATTGTTCATTAAATGTGTTGAATACGCATGTGTTCACGTTTTCTGTGCTCGTTGCAGAATTTGTCAAGTTTATGACATTTTTTTGAACGGTAAGCTATATTAGATTTCACTGTCACATGAACTCAAATCATCTTTTTCCCTATAAATTACAAGTGAATGACTGAAATTCGGCAAAATAGTAATAAAGTAGAGAGTAGATTTACTTATTTTGCCTGTTTCTTCCTTCACCTCTTCTACGCGACTATGTCGAGCTCTGAGCCACCTTTTGTGCGGCATTGTGTTATGTTACTCCAACACAACACGTGTCCGCACTAAACAAACTACAAAGTCAACATCAACTTTCATAATAACCGACATCAAAATTTAGCCTGTACCCTACATGACGAGCAAGTGTGGCCACAACATAAGCCTGTCCGCATGCTCCAATATGTCACCGTGAGAAACTTCAGCAATTTTGTAGGGAATGTCAAAACATCTTCTCCCCCCCCCCAAAAAAAAAAAAAAAAAAAAAAAAAAACAACCTCACCTCTGTGGACGGACCGGACCGGAATGCGTAAAAAAAGTGGCGGAGTAGGGTCCTGATAGAGGCGACGCAGTAACTTGACACAGTTGGTGTAGAGCGTCCAGCGGACGAGCAGCGGTGTATCCTCGTACTAAATTAACTACAAAACAACAACAATGTACCAACATTCCACGCTCTGCTTCCGCAAGCACTCACGTCACCGATTCCTCGTGACCGCCCCCTCCATTCATGAAAATAACTTTCTGCTGACGTCAGTCTGGGAAGGGGGGCCGGGGGGAGGCCATAAATAGAAGATAGATACTGCTGGCGACTGCTTTTGCTTACTTTACAAAACTAATTTGTACAAAGTCACTTCACGGTGCCGCCAAAAAGAAAAAAAAAAACTCATAAGTTTCAAAAGGAAATCATAAACTTGCTGCTCTCACAGTCTCCTCTTCTCACTCTGTTATGGTCAGGTCTACACTACAAGGTCTTCAAAAAATGTGCATTAACTGAGAGAAAACCACCTCCTCCCTCCATCTGACTTGGGAGCAGCAGCAGCAGCATTCCATTCCTGAGGAAAGTATGTGGTGTAGTAGCCCAGCAGTCACAGGATTTCTCTTATTTTAACTGCACTACTGCCAGTAACGTCACAGGTTATTCTGGGTAATTAAGTACTGAATGTAAATATGTTAAGTCAGTAGCCTTTTAAGGGCTGCCCTGGCATGGGTTTTCCCTGTTCATTTCGCTGATATAAGAGAACCCTAGCTTTGAAGTTGCCTCAGACTATGGTGCCTGTTAAAAACAGATGAGGAGTGTTTACACTATAAACACTGTGGGTTACACAGTTCAGACAACGGCTAAGAAGGAGGAAAATACACTTACCCGCTGTTGTTTTTCTGCTGACTGGACCATGATTATGAGAAATACCTATAAGTTTCTTGCAGGAAATGCTGTCCATGGCAGAAATAGATCACTTTTCATCATAGCTTATATGAGTAATAATGTTGCCCAGCCAAGTCAATATGTGAGATTTGCTGACATGCAAAGCTGTGACATGTTTGAAATAATGTTGAACATTTAGCTGAGATCAGCACAGGTAAACATCTGGACTTGGAACCTGTGTACTCTCAGTGACAAAATTAGGTGCCAAATCTCTTTACTTTAATTATAGACCAGAACCATTGTGAAATACAGCAGTTGTATTGTTTGTTCATCTCTGTCAGCCAGTTTGTGAAGACAACATTTATGCTGACAGCACAAACACAGAAAAAGTTAAACTGTCAAATATCTTCCATAACAAATACAAATCGACAGAAATTACATAGTGAACTGTAGTGGTCCATTCACCAAAACCTCAGCATGACCTTATTGTCATCGGAGCACAGGTGGTTTCCCTGGAGGTAGTTGTAGTTTGTAATTGACCATTTCAGGAGAAAAGCGTTTTTGTTCCATTATTGTCATATGTTTAAAGGAGAGACAAAAGAGGAAACACAGACAAATAAAGCCACACACATCGTCTTAGATGCATGATGTCATTTTAACCTTTAGATAAAGTGTGACTCATAGATGACTAGTAGATAGTTGATAAATGTTGCATTCGATTTCAATTGTGTGGCTATTTAGGCTAAAATAAATAAAAAAGACTTCTGTATGGATGTCTCTCTCCTTGTGAGTATAGGTTTTTCTTTTACTGTTTTTCCAAAGAATTGACTTTAGACAAAAAATGTTGAATATTGATTTTTCTGAGTCACAGGAGTAATACTCCTTTGGACAAACTAAAATGGCCCACTTCCAGCAAGAGTGTCATGCTTTACAGCTAGTGATACAACACATGTGGAATCAGTCATTTACTAGAGATGATGGGCCTGGTTCTTTCATCTGGAGCAAGTTAACCTTGTGTTACCACACTTTTTGACCACAAACAACAACAACCCACCATTTCCTTTGTGTAGCCTTCCTGTAATGAGACAAACGCAAGCATCATTTGGGGAACCAGTTCTCATTTGCTTCTGTATTTTCTCGATAAAGTGAAACAGCTGTGTTGGGAAGGGGATGTTCTAAATTAGGAGAATTCACCGAGCAGGAATTCTCAGACTAGATAAAACGACATGTGATCTGATTTCATCAGATTCGATTTGAGATTAGATCAGAATAGATTATTTGAGTTGGGATGTATTGCAGATTATAAAAGAGATGAGATTAAGTGAAATGAGGTAAGAGTGGGTTGCAATAGGTTACAAGAGAGGTGAGAATACAGGAGATTAGATTAGATTAGATCAGATCATAGATGTAATGTGATAAAGTTAAATGAGATGCAATGAGACTGGATTACATTAGATTGGAAATGAGATGTGATATGATGAGATAGAATTAGGAGGGATTACATTAATTTAGAACAGATTTGAGACGGGATAAGATTGGTTTACATTAACTTAGATTGCAGATGAAGTTTGATTAAATGAGATTGGGTTTATTTTATATAATCAGTTTATTATACTATACAGAAATGGAGATGTGATTAGATTAAATGATGTGACATGAAACTGGGTTATGTTAAATTAGATAAAATTGAGAATACATGAAATAAGAATTGATTACACTTCATTTGGAATGACATGACATGAAATGAGATGATTAGAGGTGGGATAATTAAACAGGATTACATTAAATTAGAGTAGCAGGAGATTTGATGAGATTTGATTACAATAGATTATATTAGATTACAGTATAATAGTCTCATTTAATTTAACTGCATCATATCTCATCTCATCTCATCTCTGAGTTACATAAGATTAGAATAGAGATGAGATGGGAAGAGATGAGATGGGATTTGATTTGATTTGATTTGATTACGAATAAAATGAGGTGAGTTGAAACTGTTATGTTGGATTAGAATAGAGGTGAGATAGGTTTAGATGAGATTAAACTGGAGATGATATTAAATGAGATTACATTATATTATATTAGAGATTATGTGAGATTGGGTTTCATTAAATTAGAGATATGATTAGATGAGAAGGGATGATCATAGATGAGATTTGATTAGATTGGACTGGATTACATTACATTTACATTAGAGATAAAATGAGCTGTAATGAGAAAAATGAGGTGAGATTGGACCGAATTGGATTATGTAACATTAGGTTAAGAGTAAAATGAAATGAAATTATATGAGATGGTAATTTGACAAAGGAGGGGAAATATAGAATAAAGACCAACTATAAAACAGAAAGAAGACTATGGTGCCGGTATATTGTGTAGGTTTTCTGTTTTCTGCACAATCTTCGAGGAGTCAGCAAAGAAAATGAAAAGTGGTGAAACAAGTCTCTGTGGGATAAACACTGATATTCTACATCAGTCAGACATCCAGCTGCTCAGTCAATGCCATACCACCCAATTACTGTCCATCTGGCAGCAGTGTACATAGATGACCTGAAATACACCCGTTGTGTCCAACAAAACAAAAACAGCGGACCATGTGCAGCAGAATTGTCTGAGTTTTCGTTAGATCAGCGTGCTGTGGGGTCTGGGTTCTTACAGGCCGTTTTGGATTACAGGAAGTAACACTGAGTCACTAATCTTTGCTTCTTTCTGAGTCAGACTGTTGAACTCAGAAATCTGATCTGGCACAAAGAGGGCCCCTGTTGTAAAGGGATCATTTCTTTTCTACCAAATGCTTCAAATCATTAGTGAGTAAAAGGTTGATATTGACCAAGCAGCATTTCTTCAACTGAAGTAATAGCATGACCAGTCAAGCCAAAAAAAAAAAATCATACTGGAGGAAAATATTAAATTATACATCACATTTTCTCCCTCCAAGTTCTTTCACAGTGTTCAGGAATCGCTAACTGAGAATGCCTGACACATTAGACAGCAGCCTCTGGCAAAGTTTGGGTTGTACGTAATTTCAAAAGTAAAAGGATTGTTTTTGCAGATTTGTAGACTTCCCATATGACACAAGATTTAATTTGGAACATTGACTGAACATTCCACTGACTTCACCAAAATGTGTTTCATATGAAAACACTTTACGTAACTATCTGGAAGGCGCTGCATGGAAACGAACATGGTGAAGTTACAGTAGTAGTGGTAGTGGTGGCAGCAGCTGGAGCAGGCCATGGTGGACTGCTTAAAGCTTGGTATTCACCAGTGATCTGTGAAACTGCCTTATTACTTCACTGCACTGAAAACTATCTTTTTACCATTTTAAAAGTTTGGGATTTTAGGGACAGCAAGCAAGTATAGCACAGTCTGTTAGACATGATAGTTGAGAGTTATCCATTTCTATACTTGATAGTCTTGTCAGAGTTTAGTAATGTTCAAGGAATGAGCAAATCACTGGCGCTGACCATGGGCGGGACTAAATATGGACATTATTAAGAGGGGTAAGGAGGGCTTTGATGCTCTTACTTCATTTTCCCCAGGGCACTGACATTTATAAAGAATGAAAGCAGCTGTAAGGATGAAAATGTACATTCTGTGATTTCACAGAAAACCTTGCATCTACATTGCTTTAGTGTGTGACTCATCATGAGTGTCAGGTTTGCAAGTTTCTTGATGACTTCAGACTGAAAAAATGTGCATCTTGTTCCTTTTCGGTTTCGATCTGATTGTGTACTTTGTGGCTGCGTGTACAGCATTATGGTTAAATTGCTCTTATTTTTTCTCAGTGCTGCTCCTTTTCAGGTCTTTGGTCCTTGACAAAGTCCTCACAAAATGTCCTCACAAACTTTTAACCATTACTGATTATTCTTTTTAGAGTCGGATCCTGTTTTGTTGGGATTTCATTCTTGTTTATTTATTTTGCAGTTTCAAATTCTGTTCTGGTAAGCTATGAAGTAATATACCACCCTGTACATGAAATGATAATAATTTAGAGCAGTAGGATGGAGACTGCTGCCACCTTGTGTTAGAATTTAAAATTAGTATGGGAATATTAAGATGACTGCTTGGCAAGAAAGTAAATCCAGTGAACCAGTATTATAAAAAATGGTGTTTATATCTCTGTCCCAACTTATCCTCATGTCTAATCTCTTTTCAGTACTTCTGGTGCTTTTTTTAACTTTTGTTTAGCAGAAAAAACAACTAGTGATTTGTCCTTAACTCTGAATATTCTTTTATACGCTGTGTA